CAGCGGACCGATCTCATTCACAGCATCTGAAATGTTGTTATGGTCATTCGGAAATGCCCGAGCAAAGTCTGTCATCAAAGTATTTCTGTATAATTGCCTCCCAGAACTGTTAAACGACTGCGTTCCCAAACAGCAGCATCCACCTCCGAAAGCAATTACCGCACTCATTGTGTTTCGTCTGCTCGTTCTGAGGTGCAAGTAATTTATTATATAGGAAAATTATTATATTCAGTAGCTTCTCCTACTTTTCTTAGTGATGTATAGTGCCAGTTTATCAGGAAGTGATGATATTGTTCTCTTTGACTCGTTGGATGGAAACTATGCTTGTTCGCAAATGTTTTGTGCGATATTCCAATTTTGCGCATAAGTTACATTCGCAACTTTGGATGGAAACCCAGCTAATATGACCATTTGGCAAATGCAGTCATATAGGTTATCCAGGACCAAAAAAGTTGTTTGGCAATAAGAACTTCAATAGGTTGTGAGGGTAACCTGTCAGGCCTTCAATCAATAGTTAAAATCAACATAATTGATTAGATTGAGAAAAGTGTCCATTTCATACCAAACTGGAGCCAGACCTGAATGTGAGTATAGTCAATCATGAGGAACTACTCCCTTGTTGAAACCAATAACCTCTGTTAAGGGTCAGATAAGGTAGACGTCCAAAATGTATACTGTTGGGGAACAGGGTTGGGAAACACTGACCTAAAACAATGCCTAATTAGCTATTTGGCTGTTGTTAAACTAATTAACTAATAACCCACATCAGCTCAAAACAAAAGTAATTTAAAATGTGTAGCAGATTCTTACATTTTGATGAAGGATTAAATCAACATTTTCTCTTTCACAATCATTTACAATATGACCAAGAACAAAGTAAATATAGTTTTCGTGTTGACTAAGTTGTCAGAATTCTACAGAAAGTAATTAATAAAATACTATCAATCCACAAATATGTGTAGATTTTAAATGTTTAAATATGTTTGAGGAAGAGAAATTATAGGTAAGAGTTTATGCTACAATGAAACCCAAAAACTTTCAGGAAGGTTTGCATATTGAAGACTCAAAATGACTGCATTCTGAATGGATGAGTACACATGAAATCCTATTAAAAGGCTTATGGGATACATTGGTAAAATGCAGGGTCGGCTTTTGGATATTTTAGTGTTTCAATAATAGTTGGGATAGAGGATTGATATTGTATTATTAGTGCACATGCTGGGTTTAATGGTGCTCAGACACTCAATGATGTGTCTCCAGTTCCACCACAGTCCAGTCACCCTGTGGGGAACTGGCCTGGCTGCTGGAGGAGTAACTACTGACAGAGGCCACTGTTGCGGTGGAGCAGTCGAAGTGGGACATGATGTGTGGCCACAGGCTGCTCTCTAGGGGGCTGAGGATGCCCCCTCCCTGCCCAGGTAGGTACAGGAGCGGAGGACAGCCATCCTCCCCAGCCAGAAGCAGAGCCTGGTTAATCAGCTGCTGGACCATGTCCAGTTTTGTGTTCCAGTCTAGCTCCTGCGGAGGCGGTCAGCGAAGGTTTCCGTTGGCCATTCTAAGTGGTAGGTCTGTCGGGATTGAAATTGCCTATCTGGTTGGGGGAACCTTGGTTGCCGGTGGATTGGTTCTCTGCATCCTCCTCTTCCTCCTCGCTGGTCTCCATGGCCTCATAGATAGTGCAGAGTCCAGATGAGGGTGACAGGAGACATGGTTGCCCTTTCACCTGTGACTGCTGTTTGAGTCACTGTTGCTGCTCCATCTCAAGCTGCCGTTGCAGGAGCTGTCGGCAGAGTCTGTGTTCCTGCTGCTGCTGTTGCAGCTGCAACTGAAGCAGCTCTCGAAGTTGCCTCTCCAGTGCCCTTTGCTGCTCCTTCCGCTGCCTTTCTTCCTCCAGACACAGCCGTTGCAGCCGTTCCTGTTCCTGGCGTTGCCTAATGTGCCACAACTGCAGCTGGTGCTGCTCTAGCCGTCGCAGCTGCACATTAGGCATCAATGGAGGCGGCGGGACCCTCGGAGGAGCATCAACATGTTGAACATTGATACGAGGCAGTGGCTGCTGTAGCTGCCTGTGGGTGTTCGGCAGGGGGGCAAGGTAGTTATTGTCATTCAGCTCTTGGGTTAGCCTTGGATAGTTACCATTCTCTTGTTGGCTCAGTGAAAGCTGGTGCTCACCAGTCTGTATAGTGTTCCCGGCTTTCCCTGTGGACAGTCAAGAGCACTTGCAATATGTGTTTACTGACAGAGGCATTCGTTATGAAGAAGGGTGTAACCAAACAGGAACAGAGGAAAAGCACAGACAGAAAGAGGAACATGCAGACAATAAAAGAAAACATAAACCAAATAACTAATTAGACAAAACTCTTAATGAATTCAGAAATCGGGGTTTCCCACACATCTTTCCTGTAAAAACACGTCAGGGTATTTTTCAAAACTAGCAAACCGTTGTGTAAGGAATATTCTGGGCTTAATAGATGTTAAGCTCCATCTACTGCATCTGTGGTGTGCTGTTGATTATGAAAAAAAAATCTTCTGGTATTTAAAAACAAAAAAAGTATATTGGACAAGCAAGAGAAGCCGTGGACAGAGCTTGTATTTAACTTAGAATATTCCTTTCAAGTAATATTCAGTCTACAATGTTAAAGGGGTCATATGATGCTGCTAAAAAGAACATTATTTAATGTCACCAGTGAGATTCACCAGAATAGTTCAGCACTTTTGACTGAAAATATTTTAACTGTGTAAAACAAAATCAGCAAATCTTTCAGAGTTTGTGTGTTGTTCGAGGCCCCACCGCTATGTCATCCAATTAATGAGATGTCATATTTGAACCAATCCAAGAATGTGAGTGGGTTGGAGAGGGCCTGATTCATTGGAGCAGTAACTGGGCTAAAAATAAAAGCATGTAACTGACACTTTTTTACTGCACAAATACATGAAATGCATTTATAGACTACCTGGATAGTGTTTAAATAAAAAATGTAATTTGATAATATATATATATAAAGCCAAATATAGTAATAGAATAAATAAAACAATCCAAACGTTATGGGAATGAAATAACGCTTGATTTCCATTAATAAATGTTTTTAAAGGGTAAATGATACATAAATACATACATCCAAAAAAGTATTAATGACCTAAACTTGCAAATTTAATTCAAATAAGGGATTTGTTAGAATTTGAAGAGAACAATAAATTATTTTTCTTAATGTACCTCATCTGCCACATATGATTTTACATAAATTAGAGTTCAGACAAATGACCTGAAAGAGATAGGTTTCAAAGCAGAGACAAGGAGATAAACTGATAGACATTCTTTATATCAAGGATAAGTTGTACTTTGGCTAACCTCCACCTGCAGATATTTTTGATGTAAAATGACTATTTTTGATGGCTGGTGGGTGAAAAAAAAGAAGGAACTGAAAAGGAGATGAGATTCCATACTGAGAAGAGGAAAAACAAAAAAGAAGATTCCCTGAAACACCAAATTAACATTCAGGGAGGATTTTGAATTTTTGTGTTGCGTTTGTTTATGCTTTAATGTATATTGGGGAAAACAGGCGTTTCTTGAAACCCATTAACCAATTCCTTAAGATACCATGAAAACTTGTTGTGCTGGGCTTTCAGGGTGGGGTCCTGTTTTTGAGTTTAGGGGGCATGACATGCTTTAGTAGAGGGGGATCATAGCCCATGAGCACTGGCTGTCATTTAATCAAAAATACATATTGGAATAAACACCATTTCAGCAGATATCCATTTCCTGTTCAAAATCAAATACCATAGGAACACTCAGATAAAAATAGACCATCATGCCACTCAAAATAACAAAACAAACAGGAACAGACAGCCTTGCAATTATGTTTAATGGAATTTTGGGGAAAACCTTTTAGTTATTGTGAATCATTAATGTCCAAACATCCCTGGATTATGTCTGGATTCATAGCAAGATTATAACAATTTCTTAATTAGTTGCACATGCACTTCCAATTCTTGTAGAAATGTCCCGGTACTCACAGTAAACTGACCTGCGAGCATCATTTTAAGATTTACAAATGCAGGAAAACACTTCAATTTCCATAAACAGAAATAGTTAGTCTGTTCTGAAATACAAATGTTTAACAACTGTAAATGAAAGAATCCATGTCAATCTGAGCCCAGTACTTTAAAACACTTAAGTTATGTGCCAATGAGAATCTATGTTATCCTTCACAAAAATGTGCAGCAGTAGCTCAAAACTAATAAAAGACAACCAAAAATGAAGTATGACCTGCAATCTAACACTCATTCACCTCCCTATGTCAAACACTGTGAGCGTGAAAAGCGTCTGAAGAATATTTAACCTGTATTTAATGCTAAAACAATTAGTGCTGGAGCACATTTTAAAAGAGAAAGCTGAAATAAGTTTCAAAAGACAGTAAAGCTACGTTTACAGTGCAGGAAAACTGATGTGTGTACAAACATTAAGGTAAGACAGGGATCTTAACAAATCAAATAAAAACAAGAAGAAAAAAAAAACAAAGTATAAAAAATTGACATTTGATTGGTAAAAACAGTAGGATAAATACAAAGGTAGTTGGAGTCCACCAAGTGTATTTATTTTTATTTATTTTTTTTGCATTTTTGACTTTTCATTAAAGGACATCAACTTAACTTAGTCTAACATTGCAGGTTCAGGGGTGCCATGAAATGCAGTGTTATTTAAAAAGTACATTCTAATAGAAAATGAGAATAGCTACTGTACATACAGAAGTTTAAGCCATACAATCATAACCATCACCGTGGTAATAGAAGAACAGAGAGCAGCTCAGACAAAGCTATAATCCCTCACCTGATGGCTCCCCTATTCTTTCTATCACATATTTCTATTCATTTCAACCCCACATTTGGAAGAAATGAAGGACACGGGGTAGGAGCGTGGGGTAGACAAGGTGCATTCCAAAAGAGGGAGTTTATACGTTACCTGCCAGAAAGTTATCAGTCTTATCACATATAGCAGAGTAGTATGGTGGCTGGCCGTCAGAATCGTCCCCATGTTGGGGTGAGAGGTGCATGGGGGACTCAGGATCCATTTCCTCCATAGCGCCTGGGTCTGTCTTACTGCACAGCATGTAGTGCTCGTCAAATCCAGCATCCCTCTCTGTGGGCTCGCTGATAGGCAGCAAATCCACTGGACCACCCAACAAGTCATCACTGTAGGCGGTAGCTGCTGGCAGGGTGAGCTCCTTGATGAAAGAGGGATCCTTGGCCTCTTCCGGAAGCTGCTCTTCATTTTCCAGGCTAAAGATGCCTGGACTCTTTCCACAGCTCTCAGCCATAGAGTGGGCATTGGAGATGGACGCGGAACAGTCAAAACCATAGGAGGCCACAGAGTTGGCTGACTGAGGCGTATCACCATCTTCCTCTCCAATGCGTTCAGGAGCCTCCTCATCTTCCTCCAGGGCAGCGAGGTTGTGAGGATCTGTGGCGTTGTCATCAACCGCAACATCAGGATCATTGATTTGCATCTCACCCTCTGTATCACTGGCCTCATCACCAGAGGTTGATGGTGATGATGGTACAGAGGCTGGTGCTATTGCGGCATCACCCAGTACTTCATCGGCCGGCAGCGTTTCTGCCTCTTCCTCCTCCCCATCACCTCGCTCAAGGTGAATACCTAGGTCCTGCTCTATGTCCATTTGCATGGCAGGGACTGGCGTCTGCTGCTTGTCTGATCGGGATTCTACACCTGAGCTGCTGTCATAATCTCGAAGCTCTTCAGGTGTGCTGGTCTCACTGCTGCTATGGGCAGCCAGGGCTGTTCCACTGAGGGTGCTGGACTGGGACATTCCAATGGCAGGAGGAGCCAAGATACCTGACTCCACTGGGACTGAGCTCCCGGTCTCCTCTTGGAGGTCAGGCTGAGGTTCTGAGGCCTGAATCAGGGGTGGACTCATATCCAGAAAAGCCTCAGCTGGGGATTTGGGGGGTGTATCTGGTTCAGCTGAGAATGTGGTGGTTGTGTCTGGATCGACTGGGAATTTGGTGAGTGTGTCTGGATCTTGAACTCTTGAAGCTGACAGGTTTGATTCAGACAGGACAGAAGAAGGCTGGGCCCAGGAATCAGAGAATGGATTGGAATTACTCCATGCTGCTGTAAAAGGCATAGATGTTGCTGGAGCAGTGTGACCCATGCTGTTGAGATCTAGATGACTCTCCTCTCTGTAATCATCGTCATCTTCATCTTCATCTTTGTTACCATCATTTCTACTAACCCCAAGTGCACTCTCATCCATGCCCCTGCGGACCATCTCTACATCTTCGTTCTCTTCCTCCATGTCTTTCTGTTGTTTGTGATGTTCATCATCATGCTCTAATACTAGATCCATGTCTTCCTTCAGATGCTCTTCTTCTTCATCCTCTTCCTCATCTTCACTACCAAATGACTGGATTCCAGGAGGCCCTGTGAATGGCTGTTCCCTGTCTGCCTCGGTCATGATGAAGTCACCTGTCTCTTTCGCACTGCAGCTGTCTTCAGCATTAAAAGGAGATGTCACTTCTGAGTCATGTTTGTTACTGCTGTACATGTCATCTGATTGCATCATACCCCAATCAGAGCTGGCAAAATCTGCCATCCCCTTTTTAAGGTCAACTTCTTTCTCTGTTTTGGGCACTGATTCCTTTATGCCAATCTCTTTTACCTCTTCCTCCTCCTCCTCCTCCTCCTCCTCATCTTCCTCTTTCTCTTCCTCCTCCTCCTCCTCATCATTGTCTTCATTAATCTCTTCTTCTGCTTTCTCCACCGTCTCTTCTCGTTCTTGCAAGGGGGAGGCAGGAGCTGCATTTTTTATGTGATCCCCACCAGCAGAGCCCATCAGATCAAAGTCTTCGATCACATTCTCAGCTGCAGAGGGCATCTGTATGTCATCCTGATCTTTTTCATCATCCTGCTCACTTTCTTCATCGTGCTGTCTTTCCTCATCCTGCTCCTCATTCTCTGTGGTCACAGAACTGGGGTACAGTGAAGACCTCTGTGCCCATGGTTCAGCTGGACCCTGCAAGCCCAGGAAGGGAGCTGAGCTTGAGAGTTCGACTGCCATGGATGGTGGGCCAGTGGGAGAGGATGGTGGGGACAGTACCGTGGTTCCCAGGGGAGACACAGCAGGCACTGGCTCCTCCAGACTGACCAAGTCTACTTCAGCAGCCAGCTGAGACATGGCATTGTCATATTTATAAGTGTCCATGCTCTGGGGGACGTCCTGGGGATAGACAAGCTCCACCTCTTCAGAAGCAGGAGAAATAACTGGTGTAACGGTGTCTTCAGGATCCTCTTCAAAGGCTGGAGAAATGACTGGTGAAGTGTTTTCTACAGGTGCCTCATAAGAGGTAGGGGGATTGACAGATGCAGATGTTTCTTCAGGTATTTCATCAGAGGCAGGAGTAATGACAGGTGAAATGGATTCTTCAGGTGCCTCATAAGAGGTAGGAGGAATGACAGATGTAGTTACGTCTTCAGGTGTTTCTTCAGAAGGAATGACAGGTGAAACAGTTGCTTCTCGTGACTCATTAGAGGTAGGAGGAATGACAGGTGTAGTTACTACTTCGGGTGTTTCTTCTGAAGAAATTACAAGTGAAACAGTTTCCTCTTGTACCTTATCAGAGGTCGGGGGAATGACAGACATAGTTGTGTCTTCAGGTGTTTCTTCAGGTCTGAAAGGTGTAACAGAGTCTTCAGGTGTTTCCTCAGCGACATGAGGAATGACAGGTGTAACTTTGTCTTCAGGTGCTTCCATAGTGGTAGGGGCAGTGACATGTGTGGCCATTTCTTTAGAATCCTCTTTAGAGTCCTCAGAGGAAGCAGGAATTAGAGTTGTAAATGAGTCTTCTAATTTCATGTCAGAGGCAGCAGGATTGACCTGGGTACACAAGTCCTCAGGTGCCTCTTCAGTGGCAGCAGGAACAAAAGCTGTAGCTGAGTCTTCAGGTGCTACCTCAGAGGTCACCACAGAAACAACAGCAGCAGCTGCAGTAGTGGCTGCAACCACAGCGGGTACCACATCCTTTTTCTCAGCCTCTGTGGCTGCTGCGTCTACAGGCTGGGAGGCTTTTGGGCCACCCTTCAATGGCATTGGAGTGCTACTGCCAACTGACTTCTTTGGGCTGCTTGTCTTAGTGCTGGGCTTGCTGCCTGTGGTCTTGGGGCTTGCGCTAGCCTCCTTGGAAGGAGTTGCTTTGCTCTCCTTGGGTTTACTAGTCTTAACGTCTGCCGCCTTGCTGGGGGTGGTGGGTTTTTTTGAGGCTGATTCTGCCTTGACAGTGGAGGCTGACTTAGGAGTGTTAGACTTGGTGGTCTTGGTTGGTGCTGGCCGGGTAAGCGGAGAAGAAGTGGGCTTCTTGGCTGCTGGAGTAGAAGGCTGCTTACTGACATCTAATGAAAAGATAACATATAATTTCAACTCCGTATCACAGCTTCAAATAGAAATGAATCTAAGCATTATAAAGCAACTAAATACTGTAAATTGAATTTAAGTATTTTATGAAAATACAGCACTATAATGGAAGATTTAAATATTTACCATATGTAAAATACCAGTATTCTCATATTACAACAATATTACTGTTACAATGGTTACAAGTGAACTACATGCATGCATTTATTGAATTCCATGAGGTGCCCACCTTTCTTGACAGGTGTTGCGGTCTTAGGAGTGGGAGTGCGGCCAGCAGATGGCGCTGTGGTTTTAGCAGGAGAAGGTTTAGCAGTAGTAGATGGTGTCTTGGGTGTCGCAGTAGTTGGCCTGGATGCGGCTGTAGATGTCTTGCTGGCAGTTGTCGGTGTCCCAGGCTTAGGGGCAGCAGGGGAAGAATGGGCAGCAGGAGCAGAGCCAGCAGACCTACACATAGCAGATGTGACAAGAAATAGAGTAATCATTACAGAGGTGAGTCATTAGGGCATTTTTAGGTCTGACTGCTCCTAGCTTGCACAACTCTGTGGTAGGAGACTTCCGTTGAGCTTTTAAGTCCATCTAGGACAAGGACCTCCTGCATTTAAAAAGCAGAAGAATGCCGGAAGAAAAGAACACACAGAAAGGTTCTGATATTAGTTAAAACTCCACTTCTGACATTTCAGTCATTGGTGATGGATCATATATCCCATTTAAAGCACTGACTCATAAGTCAAAGCTTTGATTAGTCACAGCACAGAAGGCCTGAGGGACAGACAGGTAGATCAAGAGCACAACATGGGGTTATGTTAATACTAGCAAAAACATTCTTTTCAAGAAATCCTCTCCCCCCAGTTATCTACCCTTAATGCCTTTGTTCTATCCTGGGGTGCCTGACTCAGTGGTAATACACGTGATCTGCCCTGATGGGGTGTATTGTCTGTCTACTCTGGTCTAGTATGAGCTTAGCACACGGTAGTATCTCAGTACATGTCCAGGTCAAGTCTGAGTAAGCTAACCTAGATCCTGTGGGCCTGGCAGGAGCTTCTGATTTCCTCTGTCTACGCTCCACTGCATGTGTCTCTCCTGTTCTAAATAAAGAGCTGGAGAGCACGAGGCAGTGCGCGTATCAGTGCAGAAGACACAGTGAGCACCGTGTAAATCTTTCATTGAGTTGAGTAAAAATAACCATGCAAATCCCACTTGGGAAAATAGCATGGATATGGAACACTTGCTCCATAAGTTACAAATTTCGTATAGGCAAAGTCCATGCAGGATGGGCGGGGATGAGATTCTACAAAATTGTGGTGTCCTACATATAGAGTATCAGGTGAGAGAGCAAGCAACCACATGAGAGAGTAAGAGAGAGGTCCAGCAGTGAAGGTTCTGGAACAAAGAGGGCAAGTCTATAAACAGATAAACCTGACAAAGAAAACCACATGAATTAATGCAGTACTGTGTTGTAGCTCCTCGACATAGTTTCACTTTACAAAAACACCTACTTAAGTACACAACCTGGATTAGGACATTAGTCTTTGAGCCAACTTGATAATTAGACTTGTGTACAGTTCATGAAGAAGCTGTCTGACTGAAGTATTTGCAGTTCTTTTTTTTTAACCACATCTCCAGATCTAACATTAAAGGATGCATATATATACAGTGCACAGCATAAATGAGTACACCCCCTCTGAATAAATATAAAATATGTATTTTCTTAATGATCATTAATATAATTAATATAATTCATGGAAAGATGGCTACATTTTAACATATTAAAACATATACTTAATAAAAACAACAAAAACAACAAAAATATTTTCTGTAAGATAAGTAAATTAGCCAATTTTGTATAAATGAAGGATTGCAGAAATGAGTACACCCTAGATTTAATTCAGAAAATGTATAATATTCTAGTACTTAGTATGTCCACCAGAACTTAAAGTATACTGCTCCGACCCTTGGCACTGAGTGTACAAGTTCATGACAAATTTTCACATCTGTCCTGTTTAACTCCTGGAGGACGACCTCCTTTTTTTTTTTTAGTTTTATTTAGTAAGTTTCAGGAGGGTGTACTCATTTTTGCAACAAAATTTTATCACTTCGATAAGAAAATCTCATTTTGCTGAAATCTCCAAAGAACCCTAACATGTCTTCTAAGTAAAGAGTAATTGCTGAATTTGTTAAGTTTTAGAGGGGGTGTACTCATTTATGCTGTGCACTGTATATATATATATATATATGTGTGTGTGTGTGTATATATTAGGGGTGTGACGAGATCTCGTGGCACGAGATTTCGTGAGATCTGACTGGTCTCGCGAGAACGTGACAATATCCTCTCGCAGACCTTTCAGATATATTTGCATTACACTGGCTCGTTCACAAGTGGTGGTATGTGAGATATTTTATGTTCACATCAGGCAAGTGGCTGCATAATAAGCGGGAAATTACGCAGTGTAGTCTTTATCCAGTCATAAAAACAGGTATTCACGGCAACCCGTCAAAATAAAAGTCAGGTTTGATTGGAAGACATTGTGCCTATAACAATTTTTCAGTAGAATGTACATAACCTACTACTACTATTAAAATGAAGCAAACATCATTTAAGGAATAATCACACAAAACATTTCTTCCATTTTAAAGTTTTAATAGTAAATCCCCTTTGTTTGCCAAAAAATCTTGTTTGCTTAATTTTCAATAATTAAAAGATAAATGATCAATTAAATTAATGTTTTATGCCTTCATATGATAACCAGAAAAATGTAAATACACAACACAGAATTTCTGAGGGAAAAAGAATTCATAAGGCTACTATAAGAAAAAAAAAAAGAATGAATTAAGTTGTTTTATGCATTCAAATAATTAGACATGCTAAAACACAGAATTTGGTAACAATAAAAAATATAAATAATATGGTGAGAAAAAATAAAACATTTCATAGGGTGAAAATGTATAAGTTTCATGATTTTAATTAATTAGACATGCTTTTTAATTAATAAAATTTAATTTAACTTAAACTAAAAATAATGCAAAATGCTTGAATTTTTATATATATATATATATATATATATATATAAACTTAAAAGGAGAGCATGCTATTAGATGATAAGAAGAGAATGAGAGCGATAGAGAGAGAGCGAATGAGAGGTTCTAAAACCAATATGAATAATCTGCAGTGACAGGATGACTCAGTATAGGAAGCGAGCACACAGAGATTAGCACATGGAACACAAGAGACAGAGAGCGAGTTAAAGTGAGTGTGAGAGAGAAAGAGAAACAAAAACCTCTTTCAATGAAGGCATACAGTGACCAGGTGCCATCAAGCTCCAAAAAGGGCACAATAAAGAAACAATATGACTTGTGCACTATATTATTTGGGTCTTTTATGGTAAATTAATAGAACACTGGTGGTACATTATTGTCCTTGCAAAAATGTAACAGCCTTTGTCAAATAACTTTTGCAGAATAAATAAAGTGATATGGTCAAAGTTAATTATGTTATTTATAATTGCATTTATGGTCGTTAATTTCTGAGTGAACTATTCCTCTAATAGAGAAAAACAAACAAACAAATCATCAACAATAAGCCATCACATCGCAAGCCAAGCATTTTTCATTCAGATCTGTGCCAGGGTCTAGGGCAAATATAATGCACAATAAAAGCCAAAAATGCACTGAAGCTTAAAAACAATCCAAGCACATTTAGACATGTGCATTTGCTTTAAGTGCTTCAAGCAAACGGCACGCCATTCAACTATTTTATAGATAGCTCTTTGATGTTTTGTGAGCAATGGAGAAGCCTGCGGCCTGATTGGCTAATAAACACTGTTTAACTTGCCGGTACATTTGTGAGTGGCAAAACTTCCCCTGAAGCCACAGCAGCAATGAGCGAAGACGACCTCCTCCTGAGCCAGCGACTGGCAAACTATGGCTGACGAGATTTTAATAAGGCACTCTGGCCTGAAGGGATTCTTTAACCTCAATAACGAGGTTCATGTCCCTTCAGGATGAATCCTAATGCATTGGTTAAGCTGTAATTCAGCAGCGTTTGATGGAATTGCGTCTACCTGCTGGCACTCACCTGTGTGTAAATTTGCTGTGTTAGCTTAATATGGGCCAACAGCCATTCATTTGAACAAGTTTTTGATTTATGTACTTTACCCCAACAGCAAAAAAAAAAAAAAATGTTAATGTGTAGTGATTTCTTGGTTTGCGGTGGCAAATCTGTGTCAAATCAAATATGCAAGTTTTCAACTGTTTACAACTCTTGACTAATTAAACAATGCATGGACCTGCACCCATTTTTTTTATACTGTGCCCTGTGGAAAAGACCAAAAATCACAAATACCTAGAAACGATTCCTATATTATAAACACATTTAAATAGACAGTGTCATCTTACTGGAGGTTCTGCTTTTGTGAAAGTCATACGGATTTGGAATTACATGAGCTGAAGTGAATGATCACAGTATAGAGAAATTTTCATTTTGGGGAACTATATATTCTTTAAGACTTTCAAAATTCAAGAAAATAAACTATTCTGAAAAGAAAAAAAAAAAACCAGCAACAGGTCACAGTCAGAGTGGATAGTGAAGACAAATGAGCATGTCCAAAGTACAGCCATATCAAACTTGAGGAGCGGGACACTAGCGAACATGCCTATAAAAATACAGAAATCTGACAAGCGAGAAACACGTGAAGCACTGCAGCAAAATCAGAATCACTGAAGTGTTATAAACCATCAATCAAGTTGGCTGTTGGGAAACACACACGCTCCATTTGGAGATTAGATGCAGTGGTTGCAATAAAACATCTCTCTGGAGGACTGAACTCTACCATGACCTAATGAAGGAGAGAAAGTGGGACATTGAGATACAGAAAGCAATTCATTTATGAGAAATGACTCCGATGGTTTAGTGTTGGCTGCTGGGCGCGCCCTTTACTGACCAGCCCATAGTTCTTACATCAGTATGATGTAATCATCGACAGGAAAAAGCTCATTCATTAAGGTTGCGCTAAGAATTCAATCAATCAAAATGATTCATATTTTTGGCCAGTTCTGTCATGCTAGCACCCAATGCAGGACTCACATCTTGCACTGCTTTTATACTTTTTGCAATTCCGTTTGGCGCTACAAGTAGCAACTGCAGTTCTGCAGATTTTATTTAAAGCTTTGGGTTGCAAACATGCACCATTAATGCCAAAGGCATGTTTTATTTATTTAAAATCCAGTAGGTTCAGTAGACGCAGTATTCCCTGCAGTACAATGTCTACTGCTGAAGGCAGGACGCACACATGGTTGGATGCGTATATGGACATTACACAAAGACTCTTCACACGCACACAAATGTGAAGAAAAAAATGTGCCGCACCCAAAACTGAGTCATATATTACTGGAAATTGATTTAAATTAAAAAATAAATAAATTGCACTATTTATTACCATAAATATATGGTTGTGGGACCAAATATCACATTAAAAATGTTCACAAACTCATACAAACATTTCTCCCCCACCCTCACATAACATCATGAGTCTGAGCTCATTTACAGGCCTCAGGATGTCCCTCATCGCCTCTATAAACAAGTAACAAAAAACTTCACTGTTCATGGTTGACTGCAGACATCTCAAATCGGCTCCTGTGAGCTCATGTTGTGATTCCCAGCGTGACTCAGATTGTCTCCCTGCACGATAACCATCCTAACATCTCTCTGCATCTGTCCTGGATATCCAGACATCTGCATTATATCAGCATGTCACCGTGTGAAAATACTGTAGGGGCTGTTGAGACTGTTGGTCCACTTGTGGATACTTTCTACATTCTCTCACACTGGGGAGGGTCCAAATATTTTTCTGATAGTAGAGAATCTTAAACTCAGTGGGGAGAGTCTAAACTCTCTCCCACTGGGAAGAGAGTTCCCTTCACATTTTTTTTTTTGTAATCAGGAATTTTAGGACTGTGCCAGTTCATTTCCCAGCAAATGAAACTCTTTCCCTTTCAGACTTAGAATTGATGCCTAATGCTTTAAGTATTTAGTAAATGAGGAGTAGTGATTGTCTCCGAGAGATGTGGAATGCAACGTGAGGGTGCATAAGCAATGCCTAATGAACACTGGAAAAGAAATAGCTACTGAAATGGCCCACATTGCAGAATTCTAATTAACATACCCAGTCTGGGAGCTCAGTTTTTGACATTCCCAACCAATGAGATGCTTACCTGGTTGTCTTGGCGACAGGTGGCCTATCAGGTTTGGGAGAGCCAGTGGTGCTGGTCTTAGTGGTGGACGCAGTGGCGGGTCTTGGAGCTGAAGCTGGAGCTGTAGAGAAGGATGGTGCGAAGAGTGTTTGAGAGCATTAAAACAAGAAGACAAATACAGACAGTTCATTTGAAATTTTTGTAATATGCTACATCAGAATTTCTCTCATGGAAGTCTAAAGGAGTTGGAGACCCCTGTCCTACATTGAGCTAATGCTGTAATCCAGTGGTTCCCAACCACTCTTCTGAAGACATGCAAAATGTGCAGTGTTGGGGGTGGGAACCACTGCTGTGATCAACAAGCTCAGATGATGCTTTTGACTTACCTGTAGTTTTTGGTTTAGACTTCAGACCATTGGCTGGTGCAGCGGGGGCTTTCTTGATGGGCTGTGCGGCCCCTGTTGTTTTCACGCCATTGGCTGGAGCACTGGCAGGTCTCGCCGTCCCCACCGGCTTTTTCTCAGCCAGCTTGGTTGGGGTCTTGGTTGTGGGTGCAGAAGTAGAGCTAATTGTTTTTTTAGTGGCAGCAGTGGTTGAGGTTTTCTTCTCCAGGCCTGCTGTGGTGGTCTTTTTTGTGACGCCATTAGCTTGCGACTTCTGTGCCCCGTTTGTCAGGCGGCTTTGGCCAGTGGTGGGACGGGAGCTGGTTGTAGATGCCTTGGTTCCAGCGGTGGTTGTCTTTGTTTTGGCAGGAGCCTTCATCTTAGCTTTGGGATCCACGGGCTTGTCCTTTTCGGTCTTGTTGGTTGCCTCTGTTTGCTGCGGTTCACCTTCTGTTTGCGTTGCAGGCAAAGCCTGGTCCTGAGCTTCGCCCACTGGCACCACCTCGACCGCAGGACCTGCGTTTAATGCTTCCATTGGCTCCATTGCTGCCGTGTCAACACCATCCGGTTTCATCTTGTCCTAGTCCTGGAGGTCCGTCTCAGCAGAAGAGGAATCAGGAACCCAGGAGTCCACTAGTTGGAGTCTACTGCTATCAGACGGTTATGGCTGACCTGAAAACAAGAGCAACAAGAGTTGTAGTCTGATCAGAGACCTCAGACAATAAACAAACAAACAACAAGTCTGAACAAGAAAGAAGTCTGTACCCCCTCTCACTGGCAGACAGACCTAAGAGAACAATCAGATAAAGAATCAGGTCTTAGAGAAACTGGCTAAAAAAGAGATTAGGAATGAAGTAAAGAGCGTGCTGTGCCGAGGGAAAACAACAGCTGATTCAGAGCTCAGAGCTTGTGGATTTGTTTAAACTGTAACCAAACTGAATTAAAGCCACACAAGAAGTAGTTGCCATCTATTAGTAGTGATGGTTGGTGTAAGATTACAGTTGTCATTAATACAGTTTTACAGATTAAAATGCCGTTTTTCACTTGGCAAGACATCTTTCACAAGATTATTTTGGTGCTATTTCATGTATAAAAAATATCTTGGTTTTCAAAACCCTTTGGGGGAATTTCTAATTGCTAACTACTAGCAAAGCAGCAATGCCAGATGCATTACCCACAATGCCTTACTGAAGCAGATGTTGTTTGCATGATTTAAGAGCAGCGGCTCCACAGCAAAGTTCATACAGTGGAAGAGGCCAACGAGAGGAAGTGGCTTGGCTCAAGGGAGCATGGGAAAAAAATAATAGTCAGTCGACAATCATTGAAAACGCACACTCATAAAGCGGACACCAGTGTCACTGAACACCTCATCCACATTATATTCCAGAGCTGCAAAATCTCCCTGATTCTTTCTGAGGTCGACATTCATTCTTCCACCCCTCGGACTCATTCTGCCCATTACAAAATCTCCTCAGTTAGTCCTCACACAGATGGTCCAGGCAGCTGAGCATCCAAAATTAGAGAAACTGGGGGGAGGGGGACAGAGAGAGTGATGGAAAAAAGAGATAAAGCCCGGGAGAAAAGAACCCATTCCATATATGCTGCCAGATATGAACAAAAAAGATATGAGAAGATATATTGTCTTGGACAGAGATCTAGCTATCTATGGCCATCGGTTACTGATAGGAATTGTGCACTTGAGAACATTAACAATGACCACATTGACTTGCAAACAACTGTTCCCATGGCAAATAAACAATAGTATTTGTGTCAAATGGGGGAACTCTGGACACTTAGGGTGTTTTCAGACCTGCAGATCATTTGCTCCATACCGAAACAGACACAAATTGTTACAGTTTCTTATTGGTTCAGTTCGGTTTTCAACCATGATAATGTCAGACTCTGTTCCATGTTTTGTGTGTGTCTTGCTCCCCATGTGCCTTCCTATGCCCTTATTTGGTTAGTTTCCTGTTCCTGTCCTGATTAAGTTCATTTGTCCCTGGTGTTTTCCCTTGATGTTTCATTGCTCCCAGGTGTGTCTCGTCATCCCCTCCTCCCTCCTGTATAAATAGTGTTCCCAGTCCCTAGTTCTCTGTCCGCTGTTAAACGTCTTCCTGAGTTCGTCTCCCTTGGTTCCTGGAATTAAAGTCTTGTTAAAGTATTCTCCAGCGTCTCCTCGTTCCTCTATCGTGTATTGTGACAGTGGTTCTATAAAACGTACATTTACTTATGTTTTTACAGGCACTAAAACGTACAATACTAACTTGGAGGGAAGGTGTCTTCCAGTGTCTGGGGAGGGTCCGGTCCCGAGCCAGAACCAGTCCGCCGACCGTTCCCGAGTCAAGTCAGCCGGCACTTAATGTGGCAAGCCGAAAGGACGTGAATGTGGCAAGCCCGAAGGACGTGAATGACGGGTACCGCTCTGGAGGCCCACTGTCCCGTGTCTGTTCTGAGGGACCTCCAGAGTGCCCACCCCCCCTCCCCATTGGATGGTATATGGCGTGAGGTCACGCCTTCCGGAGGGGGGCGTGATGTCAGACTCTGTTCCATGTTTTGTGTGTGTCTTGCTCCCCATGTGCCTTCCTATGCCCTTATTTGGTTAGGTTCCTGTCCTGATTAAGTTCATTTGTCCCTGGTGTTTTCCCTTGATGTTTCATTGCTCCCAGGTGTGTCTCGTCATCCCCTCCTCCTGTGTGTATTTAAAGTGTTCCCAGTCCCTAGTTCTCTGTCCGCTGTTAAACGTCTTCCTGTGTTCGTCTCCCTTGGTTCCTGGCATTAAAGTCTTGTTAAAGTATTCTCCAGCGTCTCCTCGTTCCTCTGAAGTGTATTGTGACAGATAACTGATGTGCTTAGAATCAGACAATGCTTGCTTTTTATGTCACGCATTCCCATTATGAATTATGATACAAGCTTGGTTCGTTGGTCTGTTGGGTTGGATTTCTTTCTCACCACAATTGAACAAGAGTTTATTTTTAATCGGGCTGAGATACCTCATTCAGGTGATCTCGAACTGTTTATTTTGGTGTGGATTCAAGTGCAATTGCTGTGTTTATATGTGCCTAAATGAACCAAAGGGAGAAAATATGCCAATATCTGAAAAATTCAAGTCAGATGTGAAAAGTTATGGTACACAATACCTGCTTAGTTTTAAATTACGCAGTCAATAAAATGAACTATACGGTCAGATTAAATAACGCACTAGTTAGTAATGAAAAATATCAAAGATTTTAGTCTTTTAGACAAACACAACCACATGCAACATCACTTCCACTTCATAGACCTCAAGGGCTGTTTTCTCTTATGAAGAACAACTCCTCTAGATCACATCTCTCTATTTTAATATTGGTTGTAAATACAGGCTTTGTTGCATCTGCTCAACCCCTCTTGGCTTTTTTCTCTTGCTATTGATCCTGTTTAGAATGATAGATGAGAATCAGCCTGTGAGAATGTCAGGTGGTGGAGAGCTGAGGAGATTAGAGGGGTAAACCAGCCTTGTTCTGAGAGGAAAACACACACACAGTCACACGGCCTTACGACCTTAAATGATCCTGCTGAGGGATATAGACTGCGTCCTCTGCATGTAAACAACAGTGACCCTGGGGGGGTCAGAGGCCTATGGTGTCCATCTAATTCTGGGGGGAGGATCTGACCTCTGCTGACTTCTGATGACATCTATTCTACAGAGTGGCTGATGACGACAGGCATATATGAAAAAAACATATGCATATTAAATAAAGTTTGAGGGAAGTGGACAGGGGGAAATGCATTTACATGAATCTGAAGATATTTGAACTAGAGATATTTCTAGAGCCCTAGCTTTAATTTTTATTATATAAAATAACCTTATTTTATGTTAACTTAAATCATATTTCTTTTTATTATCCCTCATTAACTCTTGTTTTTATTGAAAAACATACAGTTCCTGCAACCTCACAAAATCAACCATGGCTAATTGCGATAATTTAATATAATATGTCAGTATTCCCAGTTTGTGTTTGAAAACCACCAGATTTGTCATAATTATAGCAGAATTACTAAAAAAAAGTCTCTTTTTTTGCCTTTGAATGTAGTGTTTGACAACAGTGAGCCCTTGAGTCAAAAATATTTGAGAGCTACTGCTTTAGGAAACCTATTAGCCAAATCAACAGTGCAACAAAATCATGATAATATTCAGTATGTCACCTAATATTTTACATGTACAAATACATATGTATACTTAGAGAGCACAAGATGGAGAAAACCAGAAATGGTAGGTGTAGAGGCTTTGTGACCTTACAAACATAAGACCCATCGTACCTTCAAACCTTCTTACCCACAAACCCTCTTACTGGCACTCCGTCACTCTCAGGGACGAACCTGCACACGCCTAATGCTTAATGCCTCATCCAATTATTGTATCCAATCCTGGTGCAGGAGCCTAATGCTCCTGAAGGGATGACTCTGCGAAGCATTCATCCTCCAAAGACCCACATATGATGTAAACAAACACTGCAGACGCGTCGCATACCTTCTAGAAGCAGTATTTTTGGCAGGTCTCCAGCGACGGTGCATCAGAGTCTTTAAATTGTCCCGATGCAAAACCACTGATCACCCCCATGCTAATGGGGTCATTGTAGCGGCAAAATGCACTTTGGCCTCTTTCTCCAAAGAGCAAGCACAACACGGCCTTGTGCGTGCATGCATGCATAAATGCATATCTAAGTACTGCATTGTGCCTTAAAAAGTCCCCCGTGTGTAAAGCTCGCTTCTCACAATCAGCTAACCACTGCGGCACAGCAGGTGCTAACAGGCTAATGCCATCTTAGCTTTAGCCGGTCAGGGCCAAACCGACATGTCTAATTACTGGAGAACAAGAAAACAAACAAACCAGCAAACTGCACAACCTCAATGGCTCACTATAGGAAATCGTTTTTTTCCCTCTAAATTGCAATCAATGGAGAGATTGTGCTGGGAGGAAGCACAGATTTGCACACCACAGAGATGCTGCATAAATCGCATGGCTTCTCCCGGGCCGTTTGCATGCACTGGGGATGCCGTTGTTGGCCTCTGATTTGGCATTTGGTCAGAGGACTGACTAATTAGCGGTAATTTGTCACAGTTTAAGATTTCACATATTAAGTCTGTCTGGCCAATACTCCATTGTGCTCCGCAGAGATGATGCACACTCAATAAATATTTATCCAATATTTTTATTTATGCATGTCTGATATGCATCACATTAATCTTGGATTACACATTAATCTGTAATCTAAATTAAATTTTATATGCAATTCAAAAACTTACATTTTAAACTCAGGCCTAAATACATTGAGCTAACAAAAGCCTGAGGCGCATTGCAATGAAACATCTTTATGCACCCTTCATATGGGTTTATGTACCCCCCCCCCCCTTGCTTGTACCCTCCGGAGGCTGCAGAAGTTTCCCTCCATCCCCATCTCTCACTCTAAAACAAGTGAACACTGGATCTATTCAGCGTCAGCGATGACCACCACCACAAAGAGAGGGCCACCGGGGCTCACAGTTTGCTGGTTGAGGAAGAAACACACTGCTGTGCTGCTCTGCAGGGGAAAAGGTCAACAAGTTTGAGGCACCTGATTCTCAACCTTCAGAATAAAACAAGAATAAACCACACCTTAGGTCCATAAGCTAATAAAATCCATTATAAACCACAT